GCCGTGTTAGCAGATCCAGCGATTGAAGAATGCGGTTGCTACTGTCTTAGCTTCCTGCGCCTTTAACCCAATAAAAACACAACGAAAAAAATAATATTAACTTATAATCAACCTAATAGCCAATTACATATTATTAAATAGAAAGCAGTAAAACAAATATAAAATATAACGAATAATTTATCACACCATACAATTATTTTCATTATTCTTTACTTAAAAATTTTAAGTTCAAAACAAATAATTATAAGATCTAGATTTTTTGGTTGACAGAATATTTTAAAATAATCCAATAAGCATGATGCAAAAGGCAAATAAACCTAAACACGTATATTAATATTTACTAAAATTAGGTAATGATTAAAATCATCTTAGGACTACAAAACACATATTTTTATTAAACTAAATAACCATCAACACACCCACGAGCAAAAACATATGTACAATCATCAATTCAACGCATATAATAAACACCATACGTGTAATCAACTCTATAAGGATAACAATAATAGTCTTTATGACAAGCCATTGGTCTTACAAAAAAATCAGCCATACACCTAGAAATACCGTATGAACCTAAAACATAATTAGAACTCACTATTGATTCCCATAAAATAAATACAAAAAAACACCCTCTAAAGGCCGATATAAAAGACCCAACAGTACATACTATATTTATTCAATTATAAGCGCATTCATATATGCAAACACGACGTGGTAATCCACATAACCCAAAATAATGCATAGGAAAAAAACATAAATTAAACCCAATTTGAGAAACTATACACTGACACTGCAATAAACACTTATTTAACCTCAAACCAGTTATTAATGGTCATCATCAAATAAACATTATTATTATTCTTATATAAGAGCCAAGCGACATAACATAATGAAAATGAGCTACTACAAATCAAGTATCATGTAACACTTTATCTAAAACACAATCCGATAATACTATACCAGTAACCCCACCAAACGTAAACAGAATAATAAAAGAAACAATTCATCATAAAACGGGATCACTCTTTTTAACTCGAGCATTCAACAACATATACAATCACGTAAAAACCTTTATACCAGTAGGTACTCCAATAATCATAGTTATAGAACTAAAAAACACAGCCGTCTTTACATCCAACCCAACAGTAAACATATGATGCCCTCACACT